GGAGCGGATTCGGTTGGTGAAAGGGAAGTACACCCGGCATCTCCAGGCGATGGCCGCGCAGCAAACCCGCCTCCGGACCCTCACGCAGCGCGGCGCCGAGATGGCGAAGCGGGATAAAAAGATCTTCGCGCGAGTGGGCAAGATCGGCTCGATGCTCGGCCTGGAGGCCGCCGCCCTCGCGAAGGAGTCGCTCGCGGGCGGGAAGGCGAACCGGGCCTCCATCCCCACCGCCGTTCTCGAGGATCGTGACGGGAATCGGAGCGTCTCGTCGCCGACGACGGGCGCGGGAGGGGCTTTGGAGCTCACGGAGGCGACGGTTTTAACCGCCCTGCAGGCGATCGAGGAGCGCCTTGGGGGGGATGCGGCGCTGCTCGAGCGATCGGCCGCCGCCGCCGAGCTGGAGCGGCTGAAAGCGCTGGAGAAGTGCTGGGAGGCCGACCGCACCGCCTTTCGCGAGTCGATCACGATGATCCTCAAACGCCTCGCGGAGTGCGGCGCGCTGATCAAGCAATCGCTTTTTCTTCTAGGAACGGATGAATCGGCGGAGGATGAGCTGATCGTCTCGGCGCTCGCCGCGGTTGGGAAGAACCGTTCGGGCAAGGCGGACGTCAAGGTGGTTGGGCGTGAAAATGAAACCTCTGCCGATCCCAACGACGAGGAAGAAGAAGAAGAAGAAGAAATCGAGGGTGGCGTTGAGGGGATGCTCGCGGTTTTGCTGCAAAAGTACACGAGGTGGGCGGGGCGGCTTCAAGAGACCATGGTCGATCACCTCGATACGCAGCAGAAAATCGTCAAATACTTTACCTCCGTTCGCAACTTTTTCGCCGCGCAGGCGCGCCATGAGGGGATCCCCCCGCGATCCCCTCGCGAGGTGGTCGAGGATAATTTGATCGACATCGATACGACCCTCATGCAGTTTGCGGATGTGATTCTACCCTTGTTAGATCGCGCGATGCACTCCGGCGAGGTGACCGTCGCCGCGGTCGAATCCCGATGGAATGGTTCGAGCAACCCACCCCCCGACGCGCTCGCCGGGATGGCGAAGGACGCGCAGGCCGGCTCGGAGGCCGTGGGGGGGATCCCTTTGGATCACCGCCTCATCCGCGTGCACGACGCGATCGCGAAGCTTCGGACGATCATCCGCTCCCTGCAGTGCGTGCGCTATTTGGCGATCCCGACCGCGGTCCGCTCGCACGGCTCCGGCGAGGTCGACCTCCTCTTCGACGACCTGGAGGATTGCGAGGGGTTTGTGGAGTTGAATCTGGAGGACCTGAAGCCCCCCTCGGCCGCCACGCAGGCGGCGGCGAAAGGGGAAGAGGGTGGGGGCGGGGGCGGGCTTTTTCGACGCGAAACCGCCCCGGCCGCCCCCTCTTCTTCCGCTTCCTCCGCCCCCACGCCGCCGCGCGCGGAGGCGGTGGGGT